GAAAAATAGAAGGTGCGTTTTTCAGACCGAAAGGGAGTCGTGTAAACTCGTATTTTCCGTTGTTTACGGAGAAGGCGGTCTTTTCAATATCTGCTTCTTTTAATGGAATTTGGTGGAAACCACTTTTTAAGTCAAGCACTGAAAAAATTTTATTATTTCCAAGTTGTGCTAGTACTTCGTTTATTTCTGGAATAGGGTACTTGTCTGCTATTGTTTCTTTATTAAGCTTTCTGTAATCAATAACCATTCTATACTTTTTCTCTTGGGAAGCATCCATTTTTCTTGGGAACAATCCACACAGGTGAATTGTAGGGTGATCGGGATGGGCGAATAATTCCGTCCTCTAAAAGTTCTCGTATTTGTTTATGGACTTCGTCTTTTAAAGACATTGGGAATTGGTAAAATTTGGAATATATGGGTGAGTCTGTCTTGGTTCGAATTTCTGCTTTTACATTGGTTGTGTAGGTTAATTTTTCGTTTGGGGTGGCAAATAAATTGGGGTATTTCGTAACTAACTGTTTTAATCTTTGTTTCTGTTCGATAGTCATGTGATCTGTCCGTGGTATGACAGTGTTAACTGCCTCGATTTTTTTCTGTTTAAGGGGTATAAATATGGTATCTTTAATTATTAATTGATTCTTGCTGCTATGGATTACGGCCTCTAGTTCTTTAAGGCTGTCGTTGCCCAGAATTGCGTCAAATGCTTTTAACGTAGGTAATAGGAAAAACTTTACTTGGATATCTTGTCTGTCAAAGAGATTAGCGATTTTATGGTGAGTTATTTTTATATTTCCGCCGACTGTTACGGCTTCGAAAGGCTTTTGATTGGGAATCGGGTTAGAAACTAGTTTGGGCTGTATGTAATTTCTGTTCGAACCTGTGTCTATTAGTATTTTAAGTATCTCTCCGCTTTTTGTCTTACATTCTATGTAAGGAAGCGAAGAGCTAGTTATTCTAAAAAATTAATGTTATCATGTTCAATGGGGCTCTCTTGTTCGTCGTCATTTTGTTCAATTTGTTGTGCGTACTCTTGTAGTGATTGTTCGTGTTCGGTCTGTTGTTCGTAGCTTTCGATGGTCTGTCCGTATTCTTCCATACTTATGGAAGCGTTGTGGTAGTCATTGTCGGGATATTCCTCTCCCGTTTGAATATTAAAGTTTCGTTGTCTTTTATCTGTTGTATTTGCTATTGGTGGGGGTCTTTTCCCTGGTTCAAAATTTGGCCTGTTCATGTAATTTACCATCCGTGTTTGGATGCTTTTGTCAACGTCCATTGGTTCGGGGCGTGGCTGTGGTTTAGGTGCTAATGGTCGGGGCGGTACGTTTGTCTGTTGAGGTTGCGTTTGGTAATATTGTTGTCTATGGTATTGGTGTCCCTGATTCATGGTATTTGGCCATGCATGTTGCATTGGTACTTGAGCTCTGAAACCAATTGGTACAGATCTCATCATCTGAGGGGGATTTTGTGCGTATTGAACCATACGCGGTGGTAACATGGGTGGTGTTGCGTTTCGAGCTACGCTTTTGTGACCTGTTTGATGGCTTTTATTGAATGCTATGTTTGTTCTATAGTTCTGATTTTCTAATTTCAAACATAAATGGAGAGCTGAGGGAAGGTCTGTTGGTTCCTTTATGCTAAGAACACGTGGCAAGTCTCCTCTCAAACCTCTGATGAAAGTGTCTAATGCTTTTTCCCTGTACATTTTCGTCATGAGTAGTTCCGACTCTCTATTTAGTTCCATACATCCTACTTTGTTCAATATTAAAGTCAGCTGGTTGTAGACAACCTGATAAAACTGTTCTACTGTCTGGTTGTTGCCCTGTATTAACATAGTCATCTCGTATTCTAATGTATTTATATCTCTTTTATCTGCATAGTGCAGTGTGAGACACTTGGATATGGCACTCCAATTAAGGGGAACATTGTAAGATTCGAGGGCCGCGTCGGCTTGACCGATGATCTTATTTCTCACGGTATGCAAAATGCCATAGTACATTGGTGATCCAACTTGGCTTGCATATATGGAGAGTATGCGATCCACACTCTTTTTCCATGAGCTAAATTCGATTTTGTTGCCGGAAAATTCCCTAAGACTTTTGACAATGTCTGGTACTCTGTTAAGGTCGTTCAAATTTTGATTGTCGTTTATGGTCTGATCGTCCACGTCATTGAATTCTCTAGAAGGGTTAACTATTTGTCTCACTAGCGTCGGAAGTTGTTCTGTCAAAATTTGAGCGACAGTGGCTGCAATCAACTGTTCTGCGTTATTCGCCATGCCTCTGTTCTGCAAGTGTTCGTTCTGACGGTCTATATGTCGTTGTTGCTGCCTATTGATAATGTGTGCACCTACTTGGGGTTGTTCGACTAACACTGGGGGCCTAATCAAATTATTCTCGTTAGCCATACGTTATCAACTGTGACTTTGATCTATTGTTTTATGTTTACAGGTGGATTTTTGATTGAATTTAGTTAGTTAGTTAGTGTTAGTTTATGATTATCATTAGTACAACTTAATTTAATATAAAGAAATTTCTGATATAAAATTTTTAATTTAATTTTAAAAATTTTAATTTAAATTTAGCTTTTATTTTTATTTTGTATTAAGACCAGTGGCTGGTTTTTCCCTTCTACTTTGGAGGGTCCCTTGGGAATCGCAAAGTTGGGTTATTTTATACTACTATTGTAGTCACTTTGAATTTGATCGCTTTACGCTTTTTTATTTTTTGTTTTTTTTTTTTTTTTTTTTTTTTTTTTTTTTTTTAATATTTTATTTTCCTCTTTATTTTTCTAAAAATTTTTCTTAAATTTTCTTAAACTTGTTTGATTTTTATTTCTCTCAAAAATTTTTCTTATATTTTATTACACTTATTTAATTTTTATTTTTCTCAAAAACTTTTCTTATATTTTATTACACTTATTTGTTTTAGTTTTAGTTTTGTTAGTTTCTTGTTTCGTGTTCTTATGTTTCTAACTTACAATAATGATGATGTGGCGGTCTTCACTGCTGATCCGGATTTCATCCTTTTTGGTTGTACCTACTGGGGATCCTGCGACCAGACTCCGTTGAAGTATCCTGTGGGCGGGCCGTACAGGATTACCGTCCACCTATGGGCAATCGAACTATTACGTTCCAGACTACCTTTAACGAATTTCACCGAACGTCGAAGTTACGCGACGTGAGTTGCTTTGGTGATTTTCGGTCGCGCTCGTACAGGCGTTTTGCTGTGTTGTAACGCGATCGAATTTTCGTTTTATTTGAACCGACTCTGCTTTTAACTTGCAGTATCACGCACGTACTAAACGTTTTGCTGTATTGCGCGCGAAGCCGGTCCCTGCTCGGGCGCCAGTTAAGTTCTTTCTTTATTTAAACGGTAAAAAAAGATGTTTTTATATTTTACTGCTTAAATGCAGTCCGTTTTATTCAAGAACAAATTTGCAACTAAATTACTTAAATCAATTCTATCCCTAGCTAAGCTGTGGTTCAGTCGACGACGTTGGCAGCGGCGTCGCTCGTGGTGTTGTTGAACCGTTGTGCAATTCTTCTTGGAATTGCTGGAGCTCTGGTTGGCGTGTGCAGGAAGTCCGCTAGACATGGTGTCAGCAGTTTTGGCTTATTGGTCTGATCAGCTTGTTACGTTTTATTTGTGTTGCAACAATTCCCATTGGGTTTTGTTGCAATGCAGAATATTTTTGTTTTTAACTTGAAAAATATTTTTGTTGTTAACTTATATACAGTTAGGTATGAGACTATTTGTAGGAAACATGATCTGATAATGGAGTTCTAGCTTGAGTAAATAATTGCCAAGGAAACAGCATGTTCAAAGTTTGATCAAATCTATAGCGAAACTCGATTTGAAGTAGAGTATTAAATCATCGGTGCTTCACTGATTGCTAAGACAATATTGTTTACGTATTTTTTGCGGAAATTTTTCATCAATCGAAACTGACTCATTTCAAGTGGCATTATCATTCCTTATTGACAGGGTATCTATTAAATTATAAATTTATTGGAGAGATAAGCCACCTGTTATATACTGATATTATATATAAATAGCTTATTATATATATTATTATTATTTTTAAATTGTAATGTCATACAGAGGCAGGAAAAAAGAAGCCTAAATAGCCTAAGAGCATATGTGAGATATTTTTATATATTTAAAAATCGCTTCGAATTGTTAAAAATGAATGGCAATACAAATTCTGATAAAATTGAATGTATTAAAGAATTATATACAATTCATATATAATGTAAATATAATTTTACTTTTAGTTTTAATTTAATAGTTTTTCAAATAGTTTCACCTCTCGGATGTTACTAAAATCTTAGATCGTTGACCTATTAGAGAGCCAATCCATTGGCTTGTGAATCACTTCCAGAAGTATCTAAATAAGCTTTGATTTCAATTAGTGTTTATTATTAGTGTTTATTATAAACCAGCCGTATATTCTATTATATTTGCAAATATCCTCTTATCATAACCTTATTTTCCATTATATCTTGCTATCATAACTTAATTTCCTTTAACCAAGTGCTTATCGCTTATCATCTTTAATGCATAATTGAAGCACGAGCCCAAGTCTCTTGTATTTACTAACCTAATGACTGTTCTATTTTTATCATATACCACACCTGATTTATGCGCGCCAGTCATGAAGCTCATATCTAATCGAAAGCAATTTGAATTATTCTTCAAATTTTTGACGCAATCAAGCCAGTTGCCCGTGCGCTCTATTTACTATTGGCGATAAAAGTTTCCTGGGCTTTTGTAGATCCCCAAATATTATTTGTGTGTACAAAACAATTCTCTCTCTATGTATCTCTCTCTATATTACCTATATATAATATTTCGATGTTGTACTTCATTGCAATCTTATCTGTGATGGTCTAACCAATTAATCATCGCAATTCATTTGTTTATTTCCAGAGTTTTCCTAAGAACATAATTCAATGCCACATTAATCACATGAAAATTTTTGAATATGTAGGCTAAAAATTTACTGATTTTTTTTTTTTTTTATACATTTATTTCCCGAAACATAACTACTTTAACTGCAATGTGTTTGCGTTGTGTTCTGAACACATCGCATCTGCTAGCGCGAAGTTTTTGTTTACTTTTTCTGGGGTGAGCTGAACGCCGATTAGAATATATTAATTATAATCTAATGTCTACTTATATTCGCAGCATTGTTGAGCTGATAATTGTGCTGGCTATCAGTCGGGTGGTCTGGATATTGGTAGTCCTCTGTACTACTGGGAGCTTGGCCATATTTGGTTTGACGAAGTTCCTGCGCATGGCCTATAATCCACCTGAAGTGCAACAAGGCGACAACATTGCTGGGGCCAATCTAACGGCCCTCAATTATACCGTTGCCACATAGCTTTGAGCACACTCACAACTCCACGATTTGTGGAATAGCGAGTTCTATCACATTGGAAAGCTTTTTTCCGTTAGGCTGGGTCACTGATTAACCAATATCGTCTTATCTGTGTGCGTGTGTGTTTCTATTGTGCCCCGATATGATTAAAGCTTTTCACGCCTAACTGCTACAACTTGACTTGTCGACATTGTGCGTTTCAGTTGTTATTTTGTTTTGGCCCTCGACGGATCGTTAAAATCGGTGTATATATAAATATATACTATATACAGAGAATCATATATATATTTATATAGATATATAGATATACTTGTATATATCTTTTTTTGACGGGTCTACGTGAACGGAAAACAAATAGAAAATGTGCAACGCTCTGTGTGAATGCCTCAAGTGCCCCGGCAAAGTGGTTTGCTGGTAAGTTTTTCAAATTTATATAGTATATACTATATATTTCACAATTGTGACTCAGGCGATCACCAGAACAGTATAGGTGTGAGTGGCATATGCATATTTATTCAGGTGACGAAAAGAGCATAGACATGTTATATTCAGAGCAGAGAGTATGGTGTTAGGCAAATTAGATATTTGGAATATACATGAGGATATATCTTGATCATGGAAACCTAAATCTCTATAGCTACTACCTTCTAAGGGTCTATAAGTACATATATACATGAGGTCCATTAAACAGAATATAAAACTATTTAAGCTTGGTTAGATTTAGAATCTTTATTCAGAACTCTATAGACCATAGACTAGTTCGGATTAATTACTTACTTTTAATAAGTTTGTTAGTCACTAGTTAGTATAGGAAAGAAGATATGTATGTCTATAAATAATGTCAGATAAGCTTGAGGTTACAAAAAAACTCCATAGTATTTAATAATCATACATCTTAAATTTGTCATACTTATTTATCTAAACATAAATTTCTAATGCTGTTCTTCCTCTTTCCTCTAGTTGCTGTTCATGCGCTTTTAAAATGCTAATGAGCATCATTTGCTCGTTCATTGTGCTCCTGGTGATAATTGGATTGATCGTCTACTTCACTGTCTACTACAACAAGGACAGCAACGATGATAAACAGAAGCAGCTCCAGAAAATGATGCCCATTGTGAAGAGAAGCATACGCGATTACTTTAGTAGGGAATACTAAAATTAATAATATAGAAAAAAAAAAAACGGCCAAAGAATTTATAATATAAGTTAAATTAGTTGACGAATAAAAAACGACAAAAAGATAACAACAACAACTTCTTTCATTTCACTCATGGACATAATCTAATCTTTATTGGCTTCTGGCCTTATCAACTATATGGTTGCACATTTTGAGCCAGAATCGTTGGTATAGCCCATATACATATATGGGGTTTTTTTCTGCTAACAGGGGGTGATTGGCTCGCTTTGCATGTCAGATAAGCATTGCTATAGCACGCTAAGTGATTCATAGGAAGTGACATATATTTTTATTGGAAAAGCAATTAGATATTACCACAAATTAGCAAACTATACAAGTCCTATGTAATACACTAATGTAAGAGTGCGAGAGAGATCATGAAACGGAACTGAAAGTAAACTAGATTTTATATAGATACATATTTTAAAGTTTATAGTTTTTATGATAAGATTTATATGGATATTGGTATATAGCTTCTCTGAATCATAATTTATGACCCCCTCAAAAGTTGTAATAGTTGCAAAAGCAACTGGGCAATGTCTTGATTAGCGAATTCCTTGAGTGCGAGAGAGCGATAATACTCTGGATATTATGACGAGTCATAGCTTTAACCTTATTTATAAGGGTATTCCTAGAGAGTGGGCGCTCAATGAAAACAAGGCTTTGTTATTGTAGGATTCATGGGAATCTGGGTATCTAGCGAATCTGAACTAGCATTTAGAACACTTCTAAAATTGATAGAAATTGTTGAAGTGCAAATCTTTCAAATCGCAAAAGCAATTAGGCAAACCCTCAGGAAGTGAGTTCCAGAGGGAATGCCATGAGAGAGGGAAAGGGAAGAATACTATGTTTATGACGAGTCGTAGGAATAACCTCATTTAAGAGGGTATTCCAAGAGGGTGGAGTACAGAGAGAGAGAGAGAGAGAGAGAGAGAGAGAGCGAGGGAGAGAATAAGAAAGAGAAAGTCCAGACATCCCGCTGGTATTACCTCAATTGTATTCGGAAATACCTATGAGAGTGAGCGAGAGAGCATAAATGACCCGCTGGCTTACCCTCATCTGTGAGCAGCTGTTAGGTAAATAAATTTAGCCTTTGTCTAGGCTGAGCTGGTCAGGTAGTCGAAAAAAATAAAGAATCGAGGGTTGAACATGGATTTTTAGGTGCAACAGCGTCTCGAAACTCGTCTCGGAATCAATCACAGTTCACTGTTTGCCAGCCAAGCGTCAGGTTCTTGCAGCCATGTCCAGCTCCAACGCCACCTTGTATTACACTGCCATAGACGATATGTTCAAGGATCTGGCGCTGGACAGCAGCAAGGAGGAGCACGTGACAGTGAACGAGGCGCCTTTGACAGCCACACCGAAGCGCCTAGTGCGCATACGTAAACAAAATTTGTTTGCCACGGAAATGGAGGACGACTTCGTCATCTATCGCCGTTTGCCCAAGACCACGGATCTGTCGCCCAGCTCGAAGGAGTTGCGCAAGGAGCGGCAGGGCGAGGAGCTGCTGCGTCTGCGTCGTCAGCGCTGGGAGGCTGGGCAGAAGAAGCCAACGCGACGCCTCACAATGAGAATTTGAGTGGAACGACGAGCGGAAAATTCCATTGAATTACTGCTGATGTGATCGATATCAAGCAATCGATTTGGCGATCGATTGCAGTGCTTCCCTATTTTATGCTCTACTTTTTAAGATTTAGTCAACTAAGTTCTGCTAAGTATGCAATTGGTGATTTCAAATACAGTTAATACAAAAACCTAAGACAAAATTATAAAACTCAAAGCTTTCAAAAGCTTTAGATATTTTTCTGTGCACTGAGAGAAAATTGGGGCAGATAAAAGCTGCTCGGAAGTGCAGGAAAAGCTAAAGAAATTGTTTGCCTCTGATGAGCGAGAGTTTAGTGGAAGCAGAGGGTTATGAGATTATATATCTATTATATATGCTATGATATGATATCATAACATAGTGAGCTGATGGAATTCAAGTGCAACACGTCTCTTTGATTACTTTGATATATGTATATACATATAATACATATAATATCCTAGACTATTATACTTGATTATAACCTGCTTTTATCATCCCTTCTATCTTCAGTTCAATTGACAGCAATTTAAGATGAGTGCTTCGAGCAATGCTCCCTCTGTTTGTTGATTAACATTTAATTCATCTAGCCTTAATAAAAATGTTTGATAAGAATTGGAAAAGAGAGAGAAGTCGGGGCCTTGGATGTTATTATAGTACATTTACCTGAATCTACACAGATCTCAAAATCTCTCTGAGTCCCTAATTCCCTCTTTTATGACAGGATTTGACGAAAGTCATGTCTAAGCGTTCATTTAGCTATGCTAAGTCACCAGATTAGCTTTCTTTATCTTTATCTCTCGGCGATTCCTTAGATTGGCTTCACTTGAAAACTTGATTTTTGGCAATCCTTGAGTCAGTTCACTGCACCAATTCTAGATAGCATTTTATCAGCTGCGTGACTTTCACAAATATTTTAATAGATTTTATTGGAGCGCTTATCAGTCAGTTTGTTCGATTTCTTTATGAACACAAATAAAACTTATATAAGAATCATATCACGCATTTAATAAAACTTTATGCAAATCATTTTGATTGCAGCTAAGACGGAAGCCCCGCTTGACCCCTATCAGCAACATGATTCGTCAAGTCTACAGGGCTGAGCTGTGCACTCTGCACAGATTCCCTAACGTATAGCAATCTACAATCTGTGTCCATAGTAGTATTCATCCATATATACATATACACAAACATAATGTCTTACCTCACATCTAGTGAGGTGCCGGAACTCAGCAGAAAAGCTCATAACACAAATTTTTGTAAAAATCCCTGACGTCGAACCAGTGCTTTGATTTAGCTAAAATTCGGTATGTAGCTACTATAGACCTTCATTTATCATATATCCAAAATTTGTACATCTTACTTTATATAAATTGCCTAAAATCGCAAAAGTTTTTAGCTCCCCGCTGCCTGCTCCGATTTTGATGATTCTTGAAAAATCAGATACTTCGTAGCCAACTCTATGGCTGTATCAAATTTGAGCTAAATCTATGTGCAAGAACATGTTGAAATCATTTAACGAAGTTCATTTTAAATCGTGCCATTCGCTGTAAACAAAAAACATTTCAGAGTTTCGCTGGGAATTCGCTTTTGACTTTATCATCAATGAGACACGCGGCCGGTTGACGCGCTAGACAGAGCCATGTATAGAGGAACAAGAGAGCGCCATCTAGGGGGGAGGGTCAGCAAATGTACTATGACTGTTTGTGTATGTGTGTGTGTGTGTGTGTGATGAGAGCGTCGACTTGACACACTCTTGTATGTGTGTAAGTTACATGTGTAGAAGCTCTGCCTCTCTGGGTGTGTGTGGGGCGTGCATTGAGACGGCGTGTGTCGCGACTGTTTGATGAACTTGATCAATGGACCATCGAATTACACTTTTATATGGCTAATATCTAGTATTATGCTGCTTTTGGAACTATAAGGCATGGACTTAATGAAGATATAAGCTTATATTTCTTTTATTTATTTCACTCTTTATAACATCGTACTTTGTATGGTTAATTGATTTTGAAGATTTATATATCCTATATACATATGTGTATATGTTGATATATTGTTTTATTAAGTTCCATATACTTCTCCTTCATTAAAAACGTATACGCTTTGAATAAGGTTATTCGCCAATGACGAACTTTTGAAATAGGTTATGCCTTATCTCTAATGAACTGTACTAAATCTCTAGCTAAGATATCTTAGGAGTATATTAAACCTCTAGCTAAGATAACTGAGTCTTGTTTGACTTTAAAGAGAAAAGTGACAATAAAGTTGGGTTCTATCTATATCTATCTATATGAACCCAACTCTTCTTTATGGATTTAGTATATCAGTTTATGGATTCAGACGTCAATTACGGCTAATATTATATAAAATGCATGTGTACTGCTAAATCTTTAATGGTTAATCAAGAACAATGTCTGAATGGTGCATCACTTGAAATATCCGTGTAAAACTACCATAAAATAGGTTACGACTGAGCTTTATGGATATGACAAATTTACAGATGTGGCCTGACATTATATGACCCAAAAATCTTTATATTTAGCACAAGCCAAAAGTGCCTTAAAAGCATGCATAAAGCCTATAAACGGTGCCCATAATAATTTACTAATCTAATTTCCGATGACTATTCAGATTTTATAGCATTTGATATATATTATATATCATAAAACGCTAGTCATTTGATTCACATTTATGAACGTGAAAAGCAGATTTGTAAGTGGAATGTTTACTACGAATCGGTGAATAAGCATTTTCGCAAGATCTAGGCTATTGATATAGTCCGCTACTTCTATCAAATTGCATTTTTTTTAATTAGCCCACCCCGAACTCCCCGAAAAAACTCCACATAAATATATTGAATTTCAACTGTAATATCAGATCTTCGCTTTACTTTGAGTAATGAAAAAATGTGTATAAAATCATTTATATGTATTTATATTTATTATTATTATCAATAAGTTTTTCTAGGCACTAAGTAATACATGTTTTGCGCTACACAAAACTGGAAAACAGGATATTCAAGGACATTATTCAAGACTATTAGCATATGAACCCCCTTAAGTATAAGATTTACGCTTAACATCTATATAACCCGGTCAGCAGTAGAGACCCTGGCCCTCGTTCTGCTCAATGTGGTAGTTGCAGTACTGTCGCTGAGTGGGCGTCAGTCCCATGGTGTCCACCTCCGATTTGAACTGCTCGATGCCGCCCACGCCGGCCAGATAACCGTTCAGCTTGGTGGCCACGTAGCTGGTCTGCAGCAGTTCTGGATTAAGATTGAGCGATGCAGCCAGATCCTTGTGTCCTTGCAGTCTATATTTCTGATGGTATCTATATGCACAAACAAATATATATATTATTTATGTTAATGGAAGATAGTTAAGTGAACTTACGCCTCAGCTGGGAAAAAGTTCAGCTTGGGCGCAATGTCCGTGGTGATGATCTCAGGCAGGCGACGCTCCTGCTCCTCCAGCTTGGAGGCTTCAGCTATCTCCTTCTGCTCATCATTGTGGTAGAGTATGAGCGAGGCATACTGCCGCTTCATGGGCTTGGTTAGGCCGTACTCATGGTTGTTCCAGAACAGATGCAGCAGCTCTTTGAAGCTAATCACCGATGGATCATAGTCAATTTCCAACACTTCCGTGTGATCACCCCTGCATAAAGTTTAGCGGTTAGTAAGCGATAAGCGTTATCAAGAAGAGGCAAGGCACAGATGGCAAGGGAGAGAGAGGGAGAGAACGATAGATATTTGTTAGCCCAATTGATGTCCTATTTCACAGTGCTTACATTTTACGGTACGTTGGCAAGTCGGAGCTGCCGCCGGCATAGCCGACAGTGGTGCGCAACACTCCACGCGTGGCTCCATACAGCGACTCGGCGCCCCAGAAGCAGCCCATGCCAAATGTCGCCGTGGCATAGCTCACATTCACGCGATGAACGGGCGAGAGATTCAACTCCTTCTGCTCATTGCGCACAGTGCTCTGTTGGAAAGAGACAGAAACAAAGAAAGATATTTAGTTGATGATTTAAAGCCTGAAGAGTTCATTGCACTGCGAACAGTCAGCGCACCAAAAACAGGAAGGTGAGGCCGTAGCCCAAGCCAGTCACACAGCGCATCGTGCACGAAAGTTGAGATTTTGCTGTCGAAACTTTCAGCACGTCGCTTTTTGAAGTTCTTTAGCACAAACTGCGCTCTGCCGACAACTGAAATAGCTGTGCTCACGCTCTTTACATTTTCACTGCTTTTTGATATGTATTAGCGTCTCTCTCAGGCGCACGCCGCTCAGCTGTTTGAGAGCGGGCGGCAGTGACGGAGCAGAGAGCAGCTGTTTGCTGGCTGCGGCTGTGACGTCACAGATGCGTCGCTGCAACGACGACTCAAGGTCAGTGCCAATGTAGGCAACGAAAATAGTTATAGTGAACAAAATCGAAAGTTACGCGCAGCAATCTGTAGTAGTAAAACTAATAGAATTAATATTCTATTTTCACAGCAAGGCATTCAATTTGAATACTAATTAATTTTTGCTTTGAATCACTTTATACTTGCTTTGAAATTACGAAAGAGGCGAGCAAACATTTTTCGGCTGTTGCTAATTCTTCGCTGGTTGTGCGGCAACTAAAGCTGGCCATAACAATGCGACAATAGAAGCTCGAAAAATTGCTTGGCAATTGGCCTTGGCAAAAGTTCAAAGCACTCGGAAATTAAATTGTATTTGAATTTAAATTTTTGCGCGCCCTAACGTGATATTTGGACTTGTGACACTTGGAACAGCACTTTGTTCATCCCGTTTGCTTACCAAATCCTTGAGTTCAGGAGTGGAAACATCTTTGGTGATGGTCAGCGACATGTTTCTTTTTTTATTAATAAAATTTGTAGTGCTTTGCTTAAAGAAATGCGAGCAACTGTTGACTTTCAGCAAGACGCTACTCAATTTATACGCCGGCGATGAGAGCATTTAATACTATCTTGATAACATGCCTGCCACACACATGTCCAACGAGAAGGGGAGTGAGTGTGAGTGAGAGCGGGAGAGCTGGTAAAAGTGTTGCTGGCAACATTCGAGCATGCGGTTAATCTAGATGAGCGTGCGCTCAATAGTAAAGCTTTCACATACTTGTTGTAAAGCTCAAATAGCGTAAGCTTGCAATAAAGAAAACTTTTAAGTGATTTTTAAATATTTAGCTACGCGTAATTTTATTCATATATAAAAATAGTTTCTTGTCATTGATATCAAGTCAATTAACAACATTGGGACAGTCTTGTATTTAATTAAGTTTGGGCTGTTTGTTATTTGTTCGGCTCGAATTTCAGCAGACTTAGGCGTAAAATGAAATCTAGTAGAAACATTTGAATTTTGATTTCCTTGGGATTCTGTGTGTTGTAAAAGCCAGGCACTCCCGCTTTTTGCAGCATAGATTGCTGGTCGAAAACCTAAATGAATAATAAAACAGTGTTAACTTGTATTGAGGGAGTAAATTATTATTGCAACTAACCTTCTGATCTAACACTTCGATTATTTTCTTGTCTGTTTCCAATAGTTTTTTCGTATGCTTGATTTTCATAAGCCCCAGTATGTGTTGCAACTCCTCTGGATCTTTGATTTTGCCACGCCAATCAGCCACCTCGATTTCGTATTCATTCTCCACTTGTGCACGCATCTGTATCAAGTGCTTTTCCGTTACATGTTGCAATTCCATGAGCGCTTTAACTATATCAAAAATGCTTTCGTTCAAAACACAATTTGCCAGCTCGGTGAGCAGGTCGTAGGATATTCGTGTCTGCAAGGTCCTGATTAAAAATCTTAATCTCTCTCAATTTTGTAATAGTTGACAATTGCATTTACTCACTCTGGCAGTTCGGAATGCATTTCTTTAAGCTGATCCACTAAAATAATTCAATGAGTTAAAACATATGAAAATATGCGAAAAACAAAGAAACATACTTAGAAAATAGATTTTTCGTTGTAAGAATTCTGGCGTAGGATGTTGCTGCTGATTCGCTGTCGCATTAGACGCTTCGCTGCTGTTGGAGTTCGTTTCATTTTCCATTGGAACGTCATCCATTATTATTTCAGGTAATGCTAATTACTATAAATCTAGTTTAAAAGTTCACTTAATCAGCTAGCTGCAATAGCAATTCAGTTATCAAAGTCTAACAGCTGTTTGCCAGGGCTGCATCTGCGTGAGTGCAGCCCCAGATGTTTTTCGACTGAATGTCGATTCCCATGTATATCGAAAAGGTTAACCAAATCTAAATTTAAATTATTTAGTTGCAATTTTTATTGGAGTCAGCTAAAAATTTGAGAGACTTAATGCTAGACAAAACGTAGTTCATATTGAAATAAATCACAAACGATTAAAAAAAAGGAATATATTTGTTTTGATTTGGTAAAAATATTGATTTATAATCAATTATGATTAATTCTACTGATTACATCCATACGATTTCATTGTGTTAAAAATTAAGCGATTTGCGTGCTTTTACAAAATGTTGGTCGGTCTCATAGCTGTAGACACGATTCAGTTTGACTTTTCGTCGCTTCTTCAGCTCCGTTAAAAATCCAACTGCGCCAGAACAGGGTGTAGCTGGTACATGAGACTTAAAGTCCTCCGAGTAACATTCGCGTTTTCCGTTATCACCACGTTGCGTCTGCTTTGGCGTTTCGACAATTTTCAGACTGTTCAGACGCTGTAGAATTAGATTTGTCTCAATGTTTGCCATGTTTAAACGTTAGTTTTGTCTGCGTTTATTTGCTGACTCTGTCTACGCGCTGTTGACGGATGCTGCCTTGCAACTAGATTTCCAAATATTTTATCCCGACTTTTATATACGGTAGACGTCCACGCAAATTTGATATAGACAGTCATAAAGTTGTGCAAATTTTCAGAGAACTATCGATGCAGCTGTCTGTGATTAGTGTAAGTGTTAACAGGTAACAGTAATGGACACTGAGTATTATTTTATGATTTCCAATGAAAGGCGCCTAATCTCCGTTTGATGAGTTTAAAATGAAGCAGGTAATAATTTACAATTCACCATCTGGCGTGTACACACTGGCTCTGGCAGCGCACCATATGTTTTCGAAATTCAAGTGCACGTGTGTGTATGTGAGTGAGTGTGCGCGCCTCTGTGTTTGTGTGTCAGAGCACAGTGTGAGCTGCCATTGCAGTGTGGGGGGACTCATTAGAATTCTGTTACGCGAACGGTGAAGGCAGTCGGTAACCCTTCAGCATTCAATTGGCAATAGTAATAATTCAGCATTGGCAATTAATGCAAACAATTGATTTGGACAATAGTAAATCAATAGCAATAGCAAAAGCGATAACAAAAACAGCAACAACTAGACAAATGCTTCGATTGATATAAAAGTCAAAGCTAACTGTGAATATTGTGTAATTGCTTCGACGAGAAGATGAATTTGAAATTAGACAGCAGAGCGCAGAAAAACAAAAACAACTGAAAAGAGAGCAACTTGTCAACGGTTGGATTTAAAAACAAATTCTCAAATCATATGATTTTCTAGAAGGAAAGGAACATACTCGAATAAATAAACAAAAGCAGAAATCAGATAAAGAGAATAATCGTTGGCCAACAGAAAATAATAATAATTAAAAATTAGTTTAATAAAATTGACATGTACACAGTAAACAAGGGACCTAGCAAAATTGTTGCTAAAACTCGTCGCGGTAAGTAAATTGTACAAGAAATATATGTAAATGGTGTAAAAAGTACAATAAACCCTACGGGAAAGGCGACCGCCTGCAAAAAGTGTTGCTGTTATGTCACAACGTGCCGCCGCTGCCGACAGAGGCAGCGCTGCTAAACTCTCCCGCAGAGCGCTCTCGCAGGCGCTCGCATACGCTTACGCTCGCGCTCTTTGCCTTTTGTTTTGTGCTTTTTGCCGGTAAACCAAATTTACATTCAAACAATAACAAACAAAACGAACGCCCACAGGTCTGCCGCAAAACTTTGAAAAGTTCGAGAGCATTAAGGAGAGCGGCAAGAAACATGGGAGCATCAGCAATAACTTTGATCTCAACAGTCCCGAGAAGAACAAGAAGTAAGTGAGCGATGTTCGTGTGTTTTTGTGTGTGACTGTGTGTGTGGCTTATGCAAACGATGTGCGCTGCACTGTGGCTTATCTCAAATCATTCGTTTTATCACAACAAAACATCAAATAGGTCGACCTTTGTATATAACAGAAGCATGTTAATTGAGTAACCAGAGTAACCGGCTAGCCGACAACACATGGGTCAGTTTCGGTTATTGCCAGCAGAGATACATTGACTTTTGTCTGCCATTTTCTGCCCGTTACGTCACAAAAGTGCTTTGTCAAAAGATTTTCCATTACGAGATTTATTTTCGTAGTCGCCATGTGCGTGTCGTATGTTTGCCTAAGTACTCAACTTAAGTGTGTGTGTGTTTGTTGTTGCTTATTCTTATTTTAACTTGTGCACATGCACGTGTTAGTGCATCTTCTTATTCTTATGTTAATGTAACGTATTTCTATTTGAATTTATTAGCATACCGCGTCCGGTATTTCAACAGAGCTTCGCTTCGAAGCGCATTGCGCCCACAAAGCTCATTGAGGATGAAGTGATAACACCGCAACACGAGGAGATAATACGCTACATAAACGATTGTAAGCAACATAATTTAATTTTATAGTTTTTTATTCGTCAATTTGAATGTCTATTCTGCTATTGCTATTGCAGCGTGGAACATTCTGGTCGCACAAAACCCGTATGATTCCAGCACAGTGAAACTCGATGGTAAGGCCGATGCTAACAATAATAGCGCCTCTACTTTGGCCACACCCAGTCCAGTGGATAGCATTATAGCCAATACACCTGTGTCGGCATCGGCAGCGCCAGCCGTTTGGGTAGAGCCTCCAAGTCCAGCCCTAAACGATTTCAAGCCATTCGATTTGGAGTCTTGGTGGGGACGTCGCTTGTTCCACAACATTACCAAAAGCCTATAGACTGATGATTGGCCGCTGGGTTACGTTAATTTAGTAGTCGGTGCTTCCGTTTCTATTATTTTTACATCTAATTTCGACTGCAAATCAAATTCACATTAGATATAAAGATTTAAATAGCGGATAAGAGGCCATTTTTGCAATTCTAAATTAGCCGTTTGAAACGGCAATTTGATAAGTCCCGCAGTTTTCTTTGCCCCTTCCTTAAGTAAATAATATAAATTTAAAGATCGTATCAGTCGTTGGCCGTGTAAATAATTCGATACAAAAGTCATTGTATGATTCTTTCATATATAAACTAAGATTGATTCTTTAAGTTTTTGTTATACAGCAGACATAGATACATACATATACATATATAGGAGATAAACATGTTAATAGTCTTCTCTGGTCATTAAACAGCTTTCAATTTAAAAGTATACATGTTCAACGAAAAGCTTTTAGAATTATTCAATTCTATATTTTGAGCTCACACCTGACACTTGCCGAGCAAAATATGTTTTATTGTAGGTGCATAATATGAAAACCATTTAAATGTTAAATATATATCACACTAGTTACTAAATAGGAAACAAATTTTTCCTAGTATACTTAAATAAGGCAAATTGAAATGGCGAAAATGAACTTGACCCTAAGAATGAGCACAAAATACAAGTGTATCTAAAATTGTTTATATTGAAATGATTGTAAAATTAAAATAGATGCATAAGTGCAATATAAAAATCCGTTGAAAATGTTGGTTGTTGATTAACATGGGGAAAAAGAACTGTTCAATTTGAATTTACAGTCTGTTAAATTCTGTGGGAGAAACGTCAGGCGTTAACAGTGGTACTTCTATTAAGCCACAGCGCTGCGCTACGATGAGCACTGTTGCGTTAACATTGAGCATTTTGTGTCATCGTTAGGAGAACAGCTGAGCGCCACCGCACACCTCTATTTCTATATTATTGAAATTTGAAGAAAATGTCGTGCGAAGCAATTAGTGAATTGGAGGCGCGACTGGGCGAGGCCACGCTAGAGGATGTGGCTAGTCGTCATCGCCGGGAGCGCAAGGAGCTGCAAGCCAAGTTGCAGGCCATGAAGAAAAATGCACCAAAGAACAATAAAAGCAAACGCAAAGAGTTTCTTGAGGAGATGGCCCGCCTAGAAGGAGAGCTGGAGCAGCGTCAAAAGACGGAACTGCAAGATGCTACTGCAGCAGTAGCAGCAGCTCCAGCTGCCAGCGAGCCAGCAGCTGAAAAATTGCCAGCGGTGGACAGCGGTAACGAGGAGGAGGATGTAGTCCAGCCAACACAACAGCGCGTTTCCAAGGCTCAAAAGCGTCGCAACAAAAAGGAGAAAGAGGCACGCGAACGCGCGCAGGAAATACACCAGGCTATGCAAGACGCCGCCAAAGTGTTGTCGCCCAAGCAAATTGAACTGCAGCAAATCACAGATAAGTTGCAAGATCGCCAGCTGGCGCTCCACATGATACTCTCAGATGGTGACTGTCTCTACAATGCGATACGCCATCAGCTGCACCAGCACGCGTTGCCCGAGCACAGTGTCCAGGAGCTGCGAACCGAGACGGCCAACTATGTGCGCGCCCACAAGGATGATCTCATTTGCTATATGACCCATCCGGATACAGGAGATCTTCTCACTGATGAGCAATTTGAAGCCTACTGCCAGGACATAGCCAACACCCATGCTTGGGGTGGGCACATCGAGCTAAAGGCGCTCTCCTCGCTGCTGCGTGTGCCCATTGAGGTCATCCAAGCCGAGGGCCCCTCGACGCAGCTGGGCCAGGAGGAGTTCGGCGGAGCGCCACTAGTCGTTTGCTATCATCGCCATATTTACCAACTAGGTGCCCATTACAACTCCACGATTCCACTGGAGGAGGAGTAGCACTAACATCTCGGCATCGAAATTAAACAAAATCCAAATGAATTGCAACATGTTTATGGTTTATTGAATTAATATCTTGATATTACTATATATATGTAGACATATATATACTATATGCATTTGGAAGATTTGAATTATTGTCAAAATTTGCAAATAGTTTCATACATTTTGTACAAATGTTATTTATTTAAAAATAACCATTAAATTAGTTTATTTTACAAGAAGAGTAATAGGCATTTCAAATATCTTTCTCTATTTATATAAGTATGTAAATTCTGATCCAGTTTTTATGGCTTATAATCATAATTAATACAAAATGTAATCAGAAATCGAATATGTACAACACTTGAATTTGTTGAGTAGAAGCTTAGCTAATTATTATTATTAGATGGAACCCTGCCTGATTATTGTTTAGTCAAAATTGTACTAGAAGCGTTTGAGTTCGAAACTGGAATAATTAGTTAAGTCGAAAATTCTAGATGATGTTAGGGACGCCAGATGCCTTCCATGGCTTTCTTAATTCATTTAATTTAGGTACTTGAAGTTATTTATTTCTCCTTCTTCTTCTCGGACTTGGCAGCGGGCTTCTTGGCAGGTGTGCTGGGATAGATCATAAACATCACCAGCTGGATGCCACCCAAGACCCACAGGAACAAATTCTGATACTACAAAATTAGAATAGACATGAAGTTTAAAGAGAGATCTTGGGACTCTATCGAATATGTCGGGGCACTTACCACCATGACATGATTGCGTATGGACACTGCATACAAGGTCCAGGCAGTGGCAACCAGCTGTCCGGCAAAGATGATGGGAAAGGGCATGCCCTCCGTGCTCTTCTTCTTGATGATGTTGGGCAAATTGAGCAACGGTGAGCCAACTAGCCAGACGAGTATCGATGTGATCAACATGCCCAGGCGGAACTCAATTCGCTTGGGATCCTCGAAGTTGGCATATGCTATGCAGGCCATCAGGAACAGTGTGGCATAGCCAATCTTGACCCAGATCTTGGATTTGTTCTCGCTCGAGGCATAGTAATAGAAGCCAACCAGGAATATCGAATTGATCGCAAAGCCGATGACATTAACATTAATCATGGGCTGATCGCCCATAATCTGACCCAGCTTTAAGCTGAGCACGGTTCTATGGGTGGGAGGATCAAAGAGGGAATGTCACTATCGAAATCTATGTATACTATGAATGTATGATAGAAATATATAGCAATCCAAGCGGTTATAAAATACATATATGTATCTATAATTATATATAAGTTCAGTAGTCCCATTAGAATTTCACAAAAATAATCTATGTTGAGTCTAGGCAATTATTGAAATTGAATGTGGTAGTTTATAGATAAGATTTAAGATAAGATTTTCTGAAGACATTAACAATACGTGTCCTATAATAATTGCCGGGGACTTAGCCATTTCCCCTTAAATTTCATTAATATAAATATATATAAATCTATTCTTTTTTAATACCATTTAAATTCCCTTTATTTTGTTTTTTTATTTCCAATCCCATTTATATACAAATAATGAACTATTTCGATATTCCAAATAGTATTAAAAATATGTATGTATTCAGCTAAATTGTACTACATTATTAATACTATTAAATCAAGTTAAGTCTCTATATAAACTAAACCAACTACTTTATCAAAATCAGTAAATCTTTATAGTCTCAACCTAGAAGGCTCAACACGTAGCTTTACGAAAGGCTAATGTTAAAAGGGCACTTTTATGCCCACCTGTCCAGCCCCCCCAAACAAAAAACAACTCAGGTAGTTGCATAGGAACACGCAACTGTTGCATCTAGCGGAAATTCTCGCGTGTCGCTTAGCACTTGGCCCCATTTCGCATTTGCATTTTCAATTTCATTAAGGAAAAGCAGCACGTGAAGTGGGCGAGCTCGACATTAGCGAACAACTGGGCTTGTCCAGCTCACTGATTAGCTAAGCTGGAGCTTTAGACAATCAGAAACGACTCTCCCAAATGCCGTCTATCGCATATTAAGAACCGTCTATATATATTACACTTATGTATTTGTAGATAAGATGTACGTGGTGTAGCCTTAAAGCGATAAGAGATTTTAATGTGTCCAACTAGAGAATTGTTTCAAAATGTCAAGAAATTCTAATTGGGAAATTAGAGGGGAGAGTTTATTTTATGTAACCGCCAATTGTCATTGACCGATCAATCGAGCTACATATATGTATATAAGCAGCCTTTCGATTTAGCCTTGAACTAGGCTACTCCCACCTCCCACATATGTCACTCGTTCTCTAACCCATTTGGCACCGTCATGGCGACAATTCAAAAAATTTAATCAATTATACACAGTTGCAAATGCTACTTTTTTGTCTATCTATATTAGTGTTCTAGTGTTAGTTTCTGTATGTGTTTGTGTGCAGTTGAGCGTGAAATTGCACTATTTTGTTTACGGTTTGTTTAGAATTATAGCACTTACAGCACTATACCGCCTAGAAATGGTCCAATGGGATAAATATCGCTGCTGCCCTTTTTGCGTATATCATTTAAGAGCGCTATGCCGGATAGAAATTGTAGTGTAGTTATTGTGCCGGCTATTTTACCGATGGTTTCACTGTGCGGTGCCAATAAGTCGCTAAGTGCATCCATTTTGCTTCACGCAGCTGTGTATTTATGTTCTAAGGAAAACTTGTTCTACGCGCAGGCACTGGCTGGGGCAGGTTTATAAACAAATGTGCGAAATAATCAAAACGAAACAAAAATCTAACGACCAAACAAAACGGACTGCCGCTGCCGTAACAACTGACTCTACAACCGACACCTAAGGCTAGAGATGGCAACCTTTTATAAACAGAAATGAGCTAAATAATCGTATGTTGGTATCGTTATCGCTGGCACTAGAAGCATTTATCGATTGCAATTTGAATTGTATATTTATATATTTTACGTTAAAACTAAAATATCTACAATTATTAAACATCCTCGCGAATGACATGCTTCTTCTTCTCGCTGACAAAGGGCACTTTGCCCTTCTTCGAGTGCTTGCGTATATTGGCCTCCTTGACCAGCTCCTTCTCCTTGACCGCACGCATCTTCCGCTGTGCATTCATCACATGACGCGGCACCTGTCGATGACGTGCAATTCGTTTGATTTGTGGATGAGCTGCATACTTCTCCTTGAGTGCCTCCTGGTAGTTGAAGTTGGTCCGCTCGCGGGGACGTATCACGCCCAGTTTCTCTGACGCATTCGCCTTCCACATGCGCACATTCATTTCATCCGAGCCGGAGAAAATGTAACGATTGTCCAGTGACCAGGCAACGCAGACCACATGCTGCATTCGCTTGGTGTGATAAATGTCACGAGAGTGGCTGAGATGTGCATTATAGAGGCGTACAGTCTTATCGTAACTACCCGAGACAAACTCTTTGCCCGTGGGCGCATAGTCCACATCCGTGACAGCCGAGACATGATCGAAGTGCACCTTAAGAGGTGACTGCAGTTTGCGCGTATCAAAGCTGTAGAGACTGAAATGGCGATTGTTGGTTATAAATTCCTATCTAGTAATTGACTCTGCTTACTTGCAATCCTCGTTGGCCACGGTAAAGTTGAAGGCCTCCATGGGATTCCAGGCCAGTTTGTTGCTCTTCATGGTCAGGACAACTTTGCGCAGCGGCAGCGCCTCACGTTGATCGTATAAAATGATGCTGCGATCGCTGGCACAGCACGCCAGCACATTTGTCTCCACCGGGTTGTAGGAAATGGTGTGTAGCGTGTCGACGCCCCATTTCAGAGTCTTGATGGGATCGTTGTGCTGTTCATCCCAAATGGCGCAGACCTCGCCGCAGGTGGCGAAGCTGTTGTCTTTGCGATTGTGCGAAATGCCATGCAATATGTGACGACTCAATATTGTATTAACCGGTTCCTCCTCCTCGCCTACATCCGGTGCCTCGGTTCTCCACACCTTGATCGTCTTGTCATCGCCCACAGTGAACAAACGTTCTCCGTTCCGTGCATACGCAATGCCACGTACAAAGCCATCGTGGGCCACAAAGCTGCGCTGGCTGGTGCGATTGGCCAGATCCCAAATGCGAACCTCGCCATCGTAGGCGCCGGTGGCGAGCGTGGACAGCAGCTTGGGGTGCTTGCCAAAGCAAGCGACGCCATCGCGATGACCGCTCAAATTGCATAGGAACGGCTTGGCAAACACACGATCCAACTTGGTGGCATTCAGGGCGCGCACATATTCGCGAGGACCCTCCATAGGATGCAGAGCAGGATCGTAATTACGTGGAACTGCAATTTGTTAGCTGTTTAATGTACATAGTCAACAATTGTCTAATATCTTACTTTTATGTTGCTGCAGTTTGGTTTCCCGGACATAGTTGTCCGGGTTGCGACTTATCATTTTCACTTTCATATTGTGATTAGCATCAATAGAATTCAGTCAATTAATGCTTTATTTATTTAAAAAGTAGCAACAAAACACCAAAACATGTGCGCACTTAGATAGATATGGTCATAAAATAAAACGATATATCGATAAGCATAGTGGTCGATTCACAGCTGTTATGCTGTTAACTTGCGCACTGTATATCGATATACTTTGCCACAGCTGTTATTCGGCGCGCGGGCAAATAAATTTGAATAATGCAACAGGTGTTAATACTGTGCGTAGTTTAATTCAATACTGATAACACCCAAACACGGAGACAATGCAAATGAAGGAGCCCACATCAATGGACATACTAATATAATCATCGGAAAGCGTATCCCACACTGCACGAAAGCCATAGAAGAAACCAGCACCTGTCTGCTGATATAAGCACACATTAACCACGTGCTTGTAACGGTGTTGCAGACAGAAGCCTTTCATTTTCAAATTCACACCATCAGCTACATCGCGCGTCAGTTTGGCGGCCGTGTCGATTTGATAGACTTTACCTGGCAGAGTATTTAAAGTAAAATTAAACAAAGTTTGCTTCAAATAGATTCCTTACTTCACACCTACCTTTTAGTTTCTCGCTCATCACTCGCTCAACCATAAATCGTATGAATGGCACTGGGAACTTGCAACCGAAAGCGGGTCCCATATCGTAAGCATTATAAATGGTAACATCTGTAGCCGGCTGTGCCTCCGAATGCCTCTCCGAATCGGATTCGGACTCATTCAGCACTGGTGCCGGCATAGTTGATACTTCTGAGCTAGCGCCATCGGCCTTCTTATCTGATCCGCGATTGGACGAACGAGATTTTTCCCCAGCTGTTGCCCGAACAGTGGACCCCTTTGGGGACTTTTTATTAATTGACGACATTTCTCCTTCGATAGTATAATATAACTGCAAGAGATTTGTTGCCCTATTTTTTTCAGTGTCGACCCATTCTGAAGAGCAACACAACGATCACTGAGCTCCTCTCAGTTTCTATGGGAAATAAATTTTATTTTTCAACTTAATCTTTTTGAAAACATTTTAAAAATGAAAGAAATTCGCTAAAAATATTCTGTGTTTACATTTACAATTTTATATATTTTTATTATTTTACATTTTCTTGCTAAACTTAACTATTTTTTTTAAGTTTTCTGCAAGGTTTCCTAAAACTTTTAAGATAACTATGAAAAGTAAGAAACTAACTGCGAAATTCCTAAACATTATCAATACTTTTCACGTTTTCGATGGCTGCGACGCTTATGCTTTGGCTGTTCCAACTGCGGTTGGCAATTGGTCTTCGTCTCTTGTTTGGACAACTCCTGTTGCTGCTCTTCGTCCTGTTTCCATTCCTGCGCTTGCTGCAGCTGCTCCAATTGGACTCCCTGCTCCTGTTGCAGCTCCAGCAAGCGGCGACGACAGCAACAGCTGCGCAGCGAACGCATAAAGAACTCAAAATTCTGATTGAAATTATGCAAATTCTGCGGATCAATAGGAAATCCTCTAGAGCAGCCATCAATGGTCTGTTGAGCGTACAGAATACAATCGCTGGCGTAGCCCAACGTCTCCTTTAGTATGAATACCTGCTGCTTCTTCTTCTGCTGCAGATGCAAATAGCGTGTGTAGAGCGCATTCAAACGTCGATGCTCGTTGCGATAATCCGCGCATATGGAATCGTATTTGCCGCGCAACACCTCCAGATCGCACCTGAGCATCTTAATGGTTTTATCCTTCTTGGCCAGCAGCCGATGGGCTTGACGATGCGACGAATGCAGCTCATCGTAGCTGCAAAGAGATCGAGTTGAGAAGGGATATATGTATATATAGATGAGCTTCCATTGTAGTGGTTGAGAGGTCAGAGAATTGAAAGGCCTTCAACTAGCTACTCCTTACCGCTGTTGCATTAACATTGGACTTATGGAGCCATAGAGTTCGCCCTTGGAATCAAACCGTATGCCGTTCAACAGCTGCGACTCCGGCTCACTTTCGCTGCAGGAGTCGGAGTCGACGCCGCGCAGCAGCTGCACGAGTCGCTCATTGCGCTGCTTTTCGGTGTCCAGCGAGAAGTTGAGCTCGTGTATGCGCTCCGTCTGACGCTCCAAGGCCATGCGCAGCTTGAACTCCTGCTGCTGATCCTCATACAATGTGTGCTCCAACTCGCTCACCTTATCGAGTATTAGCTCAACTGTTTCCCTATACGGCTGTCGTCTCTCATTGAGCTGAGCGACGGTCTGGTTGAGATGTTCCCTTTTCAGTTGTTCCTCCTCTTTGGAATCGCTGCTGTTGCTCACTGACGGCGTCGATACCTCGGAGACGTCGTTCTCTGTGGGCGCCTTACTGAGCCGCTTCTTAGAGCCCAGGCTGAGTCTTAGACTGTGGCTGAGACTCCTGGCCAATGCACCAAAGTTCATTCTTGCTATGTGAAGTGTTCGAGTGTTTGTCGTGTGTGCAAATTAGTTGTTGTTGTTGCTGTTGGTATATTTAGTCGACTTGTTTAGTAGTAGTAGTAGTTGTTGTTGTTGTTGTGTTGTGCTGTTAGCTTTGACTGCGTTGTCGCCGCTTGCTTTTCTGTTCTTGTTGTTGTTTGCATTGCTAACCAAGGCTTCCCTTCTCTCTGCTCCACTCTGCCTCTCTCTGCCTCTCTCTCCATATGGTTAGGCCAACTTTTTAAATTGGTTTCAGTTTTTAGCACCTCTCACCCAACAAACAGTTCCCTTTGGCACTCAATCAAAGTTTTGCTGCAGTCGCTTGTTAGTCGTGCGTGAATTGCCGTTAGCACAAGGCAAAGGCAAAGGGAAAGTCATAGGCAGAATAGGGTAGACTGTTCTGGTACAGTTAGCAAGTACACTTATTGCATTTTTATGGTTAAAAGTTTTTTGTGTGTGTCCTTGATTGAAATGGTAAAGGAAAGAGCCGACGTGCTGATTGATGAAGTTTCTGATCAAAGGAAGCGGATTTGTATGGGAGGTAAGGATTATTTAATCTTAATTTAAGATTGGTTTCTAATCCATTTCTTATCAAATTAAAAAAATCACATTTTTTATTATATTATCCATATATTATTAAATATTAAGCCTTTACACTCCACGCCTGCAAAATTATCTAAGGCCTCCCGTAATAATCTATTTCTTTTATCTGGCTTATCTCTTGTTCAGGTGTTTCCCATTTATACGCTTCTGTTGCCATTTAGTTTAATGAACACTCTTCATAAATAAATGACAGTTTTAATGAACAAATCTTATCTCTAGTGGAATCATATGCACAGATAGTGAAATATTTGCTCGCCCTGCAACTATTATTTTATAGCTAGGTTAAAAAAGTGAGCTCAAAGCGTAAATAATAATTTTCGCCAAACTCAATTTTCATCTATGTATCTCATGTATTTCATTTATGCTGCGGCTGTAGCGCACAAATAAAGCTTATCAAACACAACCGGAAAATCGTATATCCAAAGTGCGCTCTCTCACGCTCACTTGCTCTCACGTCATTATGCTGATAAGCCGAGCTAAGTTGATTCGCTCTCTTCAGTTGGCATAGCTTTTGTAACAGCTGAGCCGAAGCAGCGAGCTTCATTCCGTTGCGAAGCTTTGACGGCGCTGGCAGCTGTCTCTCTTGCAAGGGCAAGCCACACACAATTGTAATTGTTAATTAAATATATATAAATCAAAACTTGAACTTGTTGTTGCTGCTGCTGCTGTTGTTGTTGTTGCTGTGGTGCTTCCATTACTTGTCCAGACAATGTCACGCCTCATTGCCAGCGCCCGAAGCGCATTCAAACGCCATCCCTTCGTAACCAACAGCGCCATCTATGGCAGTCTCTATGTGGCTGCCGAGTTCTCACAGCAATATGTCTCCAAGCGCTGGCTGGCGGTAAGTGGCAATGTATATATGTATGTATATATGTATGCATATGAATAAGTGCAATTAATTGCAGTAGCAGGGGCTAATTTGATTTACGTGTTTATGTGTCTTGCAGCAGCCGGAGCAGCGTGAGGATATCGATTATGCAACTGTAGGACGCTATGCTGTAATGGGCACCACACTCTATGCCCCATCGCTATACGCTTGGTTCGTGCGCCTCCACAAATAAATAAATATGTATAAAACTAAACACTCACACACTCGCATAGCATAATAATATTCACACATGTGTTGGGTGCCAGGCATCTTAATTGACACACACACACGCATACTCATATATTCATTCATTCTTGTAACGGTAAATGTCGCATGTGTTTGTTTTGTCGCTTCTTTCAATTCTTTTTATCAATTTGTTTACAATTTACATTTCGTCCAGCACGTGTATGGACGTCGAAGAACGCACACACATATGCACTCTCTCTCTCACAGTTGCTCTCTCTGTGTTCTTTTTGTATCACTCTCATTCTTTCTCTCTTAAGCAGCACCGGCAAGAGCTTTTGTGCATAAAGCTCCAAGCAAGCACGCTACGCACCATCAAACGAGGCATATGTGCACGTTAATCCACCAGATATGTAAGTGTCGGATAAAAGCCACACACACACAGACATACTACAAACAAAATGAAACACAAAGCGCCGAACTTCACGAATATATATGTATATACAGTACATGTATATGTATATGTATGTATGGTACAAAGTAACACTTAAACAGAGCACTCTATTAACATAATTGCTTGTCATTTCACACTGTATATAATATTCCCTCTGTGTTTCGCTTGCGTTTTAATAATTAGTGTTATATGTGTATTCCTTAGGTACAAATGGCTAGATGGCACATTTCCAGGTACACTGAAATCAACAATTATCAAAAAATTGGTACTGGACCAGTTTGTGTTGACACCCTATTGTCTGACAATATTTTATACGGGTAGGAATCAGAGCTTTTTGGCAATATAGTTTCGTTTACATACATATCCCTCTCTTTTTTCCGTTTCTTATTCTAGGCATGTCTCTGATGGAGGGCGCCGAGGATCCTTTTGCAGAGTTGCGTGAAAAATTCGTGCCTACATTTTTCCGATCCTGTATATTTTGGCTGCCGGCTCAAGCTTTGAATTTTATGTTTATAGCGCCACGATTTCGTATTATCTATATGGGAATATGCGGCATGATTTGGGTAAACATACTGTGCTACATAAAGCGACAGAATCTGACCACCACAGCAACAACAACAGCAACAACAACAGCAGCGACAACAATCAAGCAGCAGTAACAAGAATGTCTAGGCGTGATTGGATTAGATAGTAGCTTAACACACATGCAGAAGCGTAGATATATATATGTATGTATGTATATGATTATATTTTGATATATATATATATATATGTATATTTGATATAGTGCGAAGATGCTTTGCCAAATAAATACATTCCAAATGCTATATACATACACGCTCACACGCACACACGCATACTTATGCATATATACAATCGTACAAATGTATTATTTGACCTGGGCAGCACAGTGCGTATGATTGATGTTGTTATAAAAGGAAACCCATCAATTTCTACTTATGTGTGCATGTATGTGTACATGTCTATCAGTGTGCGTGTATATGTGTGCTCATCACTCTCTCTATTTATGTGTGTGTGTGTGTGTGTGTGTGTGTGCTGCGTGAGTAAACGTGTTTAATTGTGTGCGTATGTGCGTAAATGTTTCATCAATATTTGGTACACAAACAACAACAGCAAGAGAAACGATGCCAGCTCTGCCCTCTGCTAGCATCGTATAGAATAGAATGGAAGGGAATAGAGAATAGAATAGAATATAATATAATATATACATGTAAGTAAGTTAGCCACAAAAATAATGTCCTAATGCATTTATCAGCTAGGGATGACACTTTAAAACTATCGCAGGGTGAGCTGGGCAAGTAGAGAGGCAATTGGGAAGTGATGAATGGATGTCAAAAATGGAATTGTGGAAATATAAGGTTCATCTTTGAGTGTTCAATAATATATTGAGATAAACGGGGTCGTATATATGTAAAATAATAAAAAATAAAATAAATAAATTATTATTTGTAATATATAAAAAAAAAAAAAAAATAAATAAATAATAAAATAATAATAATAATAAAATAATAATAATATTAATAATACAATTATTTTATTATTATTTATTGTTTATATTTATGTTAAGTATATTTTTAAATATTCATATACATACATATATATTTATATATTATCTCAATACATTTATATACTGCACAAATCGTCTTAGAAGGTTCGTCATTACATACAATATTTCAAAATTTGCAGTCTCTGCTCTCTTTTTCACACATACTTACATACTATACTATTTACGAGATCTTATTTATCCACTATCTCTTGCTCACTTTGCGCGCTCACTTGAATGCCCAAGCGATTGTCAAACTATCGTCCATCTCTATTAGCGCTGTATCTTCATCTATCGCCTGAGCAGCTAAACTAATTAGACGTTGCGTGCTTTATGCCTGTCTCATATATTCCCCCAATTGCTCCATGTCCATGTGCGTCTGTTTAACTTATTGCTGTCTATTTAAATTGCAATTTGTCAATAGGCATTTGTCTGTGTGTGTGTGTGTGTCCACTATTCCCTCTACTCTGTCTCACTCCCTCAACCACACGCCTTTCTTCAGCCTTGTCGCTCTCACTCCCTCCTGCTGTCGCGCCTATCTGTATCGCCCCATCTTTCGACTCGCTCGGCTTAAGGCTGGGCATACAATTAAACTTCTTGTACAGTCATTAACAGCACATAACTTGGGCCAGCCTCTCGCCGTGGACCAAAACTTGGCAGACGCGCGCGCCTAAACAGCTTCACGAAAAACAAAAACAAAAACACCAGCAGCAGCAGCTGTAGGAGGGGGGCGGTGGGGCAGTGGGCGGTAAGGTATGTCTAAGCCATTGCGGCTGCCCGTCTACTTTGGTCTCCTTTGGGTGCGCTTCCTGCTCTGCCCCGCCCCCTGCGCTTTCACTTTGACGCAGAAAACGTTCGCTGGTTCGCTTTTTATTTACATCCGCTTGTTTGTTCAAAGCGGAAAATTAATTCCATCTTGGCTTGTTTCCGTTTATCTTGGAAAACGTATTCCTTCTCTCTATGTCCTCTGCTGCCCGTTGCGCTTTGTGCTGTGTTGCTTTACTTTTATTTTCGTTTTTCTGTCTCTTTCTCTCTCATTTTTTCTTTACATCTTTTTTTTTTTTTTGGGCTTCGCGAACCAGCGAAAATCTGCTGACCAACTGAAATTGCCTGCCTGCCTGCCACGCCCCCTGCTAGCCACCGAACTCGTCGTCTATTTATGTACTTCATATACTTTTAAGTCCCAGCATAGACCAGCATTAGGGTATTACATTGTCATAAGGTTTATTAGACGTAATAATAGCTAAATGGATATCTTAAAAGAAAAAAGAAATTCCGTTTGGTGTCTTTTGTTTTTTTAAGATTTTCAAATTAGGCTTAAGTCGACATAATATTTTATTTTTAGCTACTTAAGTGTCCGCTGTGCAATTTACATTCTTTAACTTAGTTTCTGAATAATATATATTTCTGTTGAGGCATAAAAAAGTTTTGCGTTGGTTTTACCAACTTTTTGCTTGATTATATTAATGAAGTCCGTTAAACAATTATAATAAAAAGAAATGTTTAAGTTTACTCAGAGCTAAGTCAACGTTACTTTAGCAAGGTCTAGAGAACTTAAAAAAATAAATGTTTTCTAATACCCTGTAAATGTGCTGTATGTGAGCTAGAAGAGTGGAATATATAGAGAATTTGAATAATATAGAAAGCATAGCAGCTGCTTGATTCGTTTCAATTTTGAGTAATATCTCCATATAAATAATAACAGAGCAGATCAGAGCAGAACAGAGCAGATCAGAACAGATCTCTGAGCCAAGCATACCACGCATAAACTAAAGTTGCTTAAGCTCGACCGCTAACATCCTATATAGAGAGGTATATATAAGCTATATAGCTATCATCGAATCAAAGTTTTCTATAAGACTCTGGAACTATTTTTGGACTATTAAATAAACTCTATATTTTACACAATTTCCTATACATTTACAGAGTATCTCTGAGTCAAGCAAGTCCTATAACATGGTATATTTATATGTATATATATATTCTATACACACGCTCAATTCGTTTGCCGTTCCGCCCCTTGGCGTCTGCTGCGGGTAAACTAGCTCACGTCGAGCTCCGTATCGCTCGCTGGCCGGCGCCCTCTAAACACGTTTATTAAATTAAAAATTAATTTAGAAAAAAACAAACAGAGTTATGCAATGTGTAGCGGCGGCTGGCTGCATAAGAAGCTAATACTTACTAATGCTGCTTCATTTGATTCAATTACCGGAAGCATTCACCCAGCTGCGAATCACTTCGCGCCGGGGCAGCTTCTGGCTGTTGGCTCTGGCAGATGTTACTGATGCTGCTGCTGCCACGGATGCTGCCACTGCCACTGCCACTGCCGCTGCTCCAGATGCTGTGTTTATCTTGTGCGAGGGAACTTGTTGTAATTACCAAGACCAAGACAAATAGAAAATGGCGCAAAAACGAGAAATTAATCAGCGACGCGCTCACGATGGAGGCGTTTGAGTGGTGTGCGTGGGCGTGGGCGTGTCTGCACTGATTTGATGGAACTGGACGTAATGTGAAGCGCTTGGTAAATATATGTGTGTGTGCTGCGCTAGGACTGGCCAGGATAGGACTCGCCTGGACAGGACTAGCCTGGACAGGACTGGTGTCCAGTGTGTTTGCCCAGTTTGATGATGGCCATGACGGCATTTTCACACGCGCACACGCTGCCGCATTATAATTTTAAAAAATACCCAGTGGCAGGCAGGGTGGCCAACTTACTACACCACCCCACAGCACCATCCACGCCATCCTCGCCAGAGTTGGAGTCGCAGTCAGGGCCGCTGGGCCGCCCGTTGCGGCACATTTGTTCGCCGGCATGTGAAAATTGATTGCTGTTGTTCATAGCTGCGGGATATGGCCAAAGTTTTTAAGTTCCTCAAGCCGCGCCGCATCCCGCGCTGCGCTGCGCTGTGCTCGGCGCTGCCTTGTCGCCTCCTGCTCCCTGCTCCCAGCTCCCAGCTCCCAGTTGCCCAGTTCCGTTCTGAATTTACCCACTTGTTGTTGTTGCTTTTGCTGCCGAAAAGCTGAAAACAATGCGCATTCCGCTTGCGGCTCTGCTGCGCCTTGAATGAACGTATTTTTTTGTTATTTTTTTATTTTTGTATTATTAAGAAAGTTTTATATAGTATAAGTATTTTTTTTTCATACCATGCTGCTGCTGCTGGTCTTTACTTGGGGTTGGAGTATATTTACATTTGGCAGTTGGTTGCGTTAAGCGGCTTGCGTTGCCATAGAGCCACGCCCCTCCGCCGCCCAGCTGCCACTTCCTGTCTCTCTCGCTCTCTCTCTCTCTCTTTCTCATTCTCTGTTGGGCTGGTCAAAAAAGTGCTGCCGCTGAAAAATTCTTAATACTCTGTTACCTTGCAGACAATTTGATGGGCCAATGGGCATAACAAGTGTGAGTGTGAGTGTGCGTGTGTATGGATGTGTGTGTATGTGTGTGGGACTGTGTATTCATAATTAAAGAAAAGACACCGAAATGTGAAAACAAAAGAATGGAAAGCAAATAAAAGCGGATAACTGTTGGCATGACACCTATTAAAGCACCGACCGTGAGAGTTGGCAACGCCAATTCGAAATGCATTCGAGTGGGCGCGCTACAAATTATTAAAAGAAAAAACAACAACAACAAAAAACATAAAATAATGTACAAAGTGGGAAGTTTTTTAGTGGAAGAACTTGAATATATGGAAATATAAATTAATTGGACGGGCATTAAATGAGGGAGAGAGAGAGAGAGAGAGAGAGAGAGAGAGAGAGAGAGAGAAAGAGATAGAGAGTGAGTGAGAGAGATAGAGTGGGAAAAGGACACATAGAAATAGAGAGATAGAAACAGAAGTTGAGCCAGAGCAGAGAGAGAGAAAATATGAGATCGACACAAAGAGAAAGAGAGAGAGAGAGAGAGCAAGATACATTAAGAATAGGAGATAGAGAAAGAAAATATATATAAAGAGAGAGTTAGAGAGAAGGGAAGTGAAAGTCTAGAAATAAATATAGGGGGCGATGGAGAGGGAAAGCTAGATAATGATATATATAATATATGTATATATGTTTATATAAAAATATATGATGATAAATAGGTCCCTATTATTATACTACATAATCATATATTATGACAAACTAAAAGAAGGAATAGACCCTCTTGACTGCTCTCCTCTCTCTGCCTTAACTGCCACTAAATAAGATTAGGTTTGCATACAATTGAAAGTCTTGAAGATTGCATGACACAAGCGCCTCATACATATTATGTGCTGCAAATGAACTGCCGAAAGAAGCAAGACACTCGCTGGAGCCATTGGAGGATGCGATGGGGGCTGAGCGGCACGCAAGCTCCCAAGTTCGCATTATTTTTATGGCACGGCTGAGGCAGGGGCAAGCTTGGTCGGCAGTTTTTGAGCTGATCTGCAATGGCATAAAATGCCATCAAATTTGTTCACGCACACACACACACACACAGACACACACACCTACAGAGCAAACACCTGCTGTCAAGCGCACGTAAATAAATAAAAAATAAAAATAATGATAATAAAAAAAGGTAGCCAAAGCGAACGAACGGCTGCTGTTTGCTTGTTGTTTGCTGTTTGCTGTTGGTCTGGCGAGGAAGTTTGTCTCCTGTTTGACTTTTGCCTTTATGTGCATGCAAACGCATAATCAGGCGTAAGCAAATGGCAACACACACACACACACACACAGACACCCACACACACACACACACACACGCAAGAGCCAAGACACGCACATCCTTCGTATATCCTGCGCTGCTTACATTTAATTTCACCTTCAGCTCTGCTCTGTCTTCCCTCTCTTTCGCTCTTTGGCCCCGTTGGCTTCTTTTTCGGCGAGTTTCCCGCCAAGACGCCGTTGTCGCCGTCGCCATCGCCTTTTGCTTTTTTGTTGTCGTCTGTGCAGTTGACAGGAAAAAATTAGTTGGCTACGAAAACTTTTGGCCTCGACCAAACGACACAACAGACGACCATTCTCTGTCTCTCTCTCTCTCTCTTTTGTGTGTGCGTGTGTGAGTGTGTGTGTGCTTGTGAGCATCCTTCCCTTGGCCTGGCAGTTGTAAAATGCTGTGCCGAAAAACCATAAACAGGTGTTGCTACCTATGTATGTTATTGCTATACCCAGCAAGTAGCACCAAGGTCAAAGGGGTATAATAAAGCTGTGCAGCAAAAAGACGGAGAGCTGAATGCGGATGCCGTAAAATGAATCATCGTCTTTACCCGTAGATGTTATCGGTTTAGCCTCTGAATTGCATAAGCAGTTTATAATGTAGTTTTTGCTGTGAGAATAGGTGGAGCGATATGAAATCAGAGAAAGAGGCAAGATGAAAACAGTGAGACTGAAAAATGAAAAATAGTTAGAGAAAGAGAGAGAAGAGAAGAGAGAAGAGAAAGGGATAGACACAGAGACAGAGACAGGTGCAGAGCTTACAGAAAAAGAATCACATGGAAGGAGAGAAACAAAGAGAAGAGGTAGATCGAGAGAGAGAGGGAGAGATCGACTGGGAAAATTGATATACAGATAAAGGTAAAGAACGTAAGGCGTAAGACGTTGAATCTAACCAGAAGAAAGAAAAGTCGGGAGGGAGAGGGACATAGTGGCTGAAAGAACAACAGGCAGGGGAGGAAGAAAAAAGAGCTAGATAGTGAGCAAGGGAGAGAAACAGAGGGTCTACTTCTGAGTACGAGAGAATGGGATAGAAAGAACGAAAAAAATTATACTGCAGAAAGAAAGAGAGTGTGCACAAAAACAGAGAGGTAATGAAAGAGTCAGGTCCTCTTAAGTCTCTCTCTCTCTCTCTCAGAATATATCATTCTCGCTAAGCAAGGGAGAAAAACGAGTTAGAGAAACTAAGCAATTTATAAGGATTCATATGCTTGAGCTGCTATATATCTCTGTTCTTCAATACCTTACCTAACACGGGGTATCCCTATGGCTGTGCATGCCCCGTCTAACTGCTTGTTATTGTTGCTGTTGACGCTGCGTGTGGCCAGCCGCACAATATGTTGCGTTCTACTCGTAGCGTGTTCTCTCTTTTTGTGGACCCCTATGTCTGTTTTGTACATAATCCGCTGGCCAAAAGCCTTTGCCTTCGTTTTAATATGGTCGGGGCTGGGCTGGGCTGGGCTGGCTGTGTTGGGCGGGGCAGTAATGGGCTGGCTCTGCAGATACATGGTAACAGTGCGCCAGTACGTTCGAATGAAACGTTCGTTCGTTCGTTCGTTTGCACAAAAGTTATTAAACTTAATGCAGTTTAATTGACCTTTTTCGCAAAAGTTTGCGACGCCTGCCGTTGGCAGCAACAGCTGAAGCAGCAGGGGCAATTCTCGCAGGTCCTGGCTGCTGGCTGGCTGGCTGACTGGTTGCTCGGCATCCTGCCAGCAGGTACTGAAGTCGACCGAACGTTTTCTTCGTATTGCTGTGCACATTATTACTTTTAATTACGGCTTAAACTTATTGACTGGAAATTTTAATATGTTATTTATTTACAATTAACGCCCCAAGTATCCAAGTATCCAAGTATCCGAGTATCCTTCGTGTACAACTGGGCGTATGATTTATGCGATTTGCCAGCACACACACACACACACACACACACAGGGGCACACTCTAAATACTATTTGCGGCCCCGGGTGTGAAAAGTGCGCATTTTGCAACAGTTGCCACTACCAAATTGGCCAAGAGGGTGTTCGCTGAGGCATAACTCCAACACTCTGTCAAATGTGACGCCGGCATTTAGCTGGAAATTGAATTGCGAACGAAATTATTTATGGGGCCTTTGTTGATGCGATGCGACTGGTTTTGGCCAGTCGCTTCGGTTACGGACACGGCATTGACATTTCCAGAATTGGCCAGAAACTATTATAAGCTAGCAGCTGTCGCTAAACGTGTGTAAATTACGCCATTTTCATGGAAATGTTTTGAATATTTCCTCGACAATTTGCTATTAAAGTTGTTGACTTTTCTATGCATAAATTGTCATGAATAATGAATGGTGGTGAATAAGTTGTATATAATTAATCGAATAATTTAATTTAATATATTTAATAGTAATCGAATGATGTTTCAACTAATAATTTATTTTTATTGATTGCTTATACAAAAGTAACTTTTCGATAAACTTCCGTTTTGCTGTGGTATCGAATATTTATCGAGCATTCATTCAATAGTTATCAAATATGGCAACTTTTATTGAGTTTTGTTATCCTGACTAGATTTTATCGTAATCACCAAATATTTATTGATTCTTAATTGATTTATGTATTTATCGAACTTTTATCGATTTATTTTGCTTAAACTAAAATTAGTGAGGTTAACAAAATGATAAGGAATATTATATATATAAATATAACCGATTATATGAGGCCAACAGCTGATCACCTCATCATCATCAGGGTAGTATAGCTATCATCCAATATATAGACTAGATATGCAGCTGACTTAATGAAATGCATATTGAAATTACCACAAATTCAAATTCATAATGATAAGGAATATTATATATATAAATATAACCGATTATATGAGGCCAACAGCTGATCACCTCATCATCATCAGGGTAGTATAGCTATCATCCAATATATAGACTAGATATGCAGCTGACTTAATGAAATGCATATTGAAATTACCACAAATTCAAATTCATAATAGAAATGCAACTATATCTTCTCTTCCCATGACATTCACTATCTTTGCCTCATCTTCTTCACTAAAGATCACAGTGCGTATACGTAACATTGTTAATGGCAATGCTAAGCTGAAATGCTTTTAAGTCGTCGGTTCTCCTTTATGCAAGTGCTGCCTTAAGTCTTCACCCTTTAGTCAACCCTTGTCAACGAACTGCAGCACTGCCCGGGACAGAGTGGAGAGCTGAGAATATTCCTCTATCGCATACATATTTTAATTTGTTAATTACTTAAGCTGGTGCGCTGCAGCAAGCAGTAAGGCAGTAAATTCATATACCAAATAGCTGCAGCAGCAAAGTAATCAGCATATAGAGCCCAAGACTCAACTGAGCGGACTGAGCAGCTACCGAGCACAGTCTATGAAGTAAAAGTTAAAAAAAAACACAAACTGTTGCCTACGTTAAGGCGCACGCAGCTTCCCCTTCTGGAAGACATCAGAAACATATTAGCAGGCAAGTCGAGTTAAGCAGAAGAGCGGGCATAGAGAGAGAGAGAGAGAGAGAAAAAAAAATACGCACACGCATCGCATCGCTTCGCCGTTCAACAGGGACGTTCGCCATATGGCGAGGGTCCCTAGCTCATTGATGGGCCGGCCATTTATTTTCTGTTTATAAGTGAATATATATTAAATGGCATTTCTTGTTATATTCATATTTTTATAATGAAGAAATTGCGTGAAATTATTCTATTATTATGAAATAAAATTGTATTTTATTTATATGTTAATTATATTTATTATTATATATATTATAATTTATTAAAATTAAAAATAAAATATTGATAAGATAATTACGTGGAATTCCCTTAGCGTGAAAGCTATAAGTTTTTAGCTCTCTTCTTACCTCTTACCTATAACTCTTACCTCTTACATTCTATCTCGTAGTCTTCCTTATTTAATCTCATCTCTTAGATCTTAACGATGCCTGAATCTCTTTCTTTGCAGAAACTTTAGCTATTAAGCTGCACATAAACTCTTATCCCTTTCTTAGATCTTATGCCCTTTCCTATATATGTTTTATGAACTATGCTATAAGTATTTCACATCTCCTTCTCCTCTCAATCTTCTTCTTCTCATATACTTTCTAAGTCTCATATATGTAAGTGTATACGTATCCCCTCTATCATGCTCATCCTCTCCTGTGCATTCTGTTCTTCTTATATGCGCTTTGCACATAAGCGCTTAATGAGTATAAATGAGCTTGATTGCATATTTCAAGGCATGTGCGTGTGCGTCTGTGTGTGTGTGTCCGTGTTTGTGTGTGAGCTGTTATTTAATAGCCTGCATATGGCGTTGTAAAAGTTTTCATTACACAAACAGCAACAGCAGCAACAGCAGCAGCAACAACAACAACAAGTCAACGAGATGAGGCAATTTACAAGCTGCAACTTATTGGCCTGACTTTTAAGCGCAGTTAACACGCGGCGTATGCGTAATGCAGGCAGTCAGGCTGTCAGGGTCTGGCAGCTGCAGTTCCCAATTGAATACAGTTGCTCGTAAAATGCTTAAGCACCTGTACAGGTAAAATGAACGACAGCCACGTCAAGAGCCAAACTCTGAGGCAACGCAACACTTAGCGCTAATTTTTCGTTTAACTGTCGAATGATTTTTGGAGTGCAGCCGGAAAAAGCTGAAAGAAAAACCTGGCTCAAATACCCTTGGCACAAAGCTAATATCATTGCGTAACAAACTGATGAATATATATCTATATATCGATAAAGTTTAGAGTCCTCCAGCTGATTTCGGCTTGGCTAAGAGCGCTTTAAACTGTTGCAAATGGAATTGTGGCCCAGATGAGCTTAGTGTAATCGGCTTCGTTTATCTCGCTAGTGTATTTAATCTTCGTGGGGCATATGGGCACAGTTATGGAGCGCCGCAAACGCAGTTCAAACTCACGCCCTTTTTGCCTAGCAATTTTTGGGGAAAATTTCATCTGCGGTTGATTTTGATTGTGAAAGGATTTGCCAAATTGCTGTTTGCAACGGTGCGGCAAAAAATCAAAGGGATTTTACAATACCCAATACATTGCTAGCCATGTGTGAGTGCATGTGTGTGTGTGCATGTGTGTGTGGCTGTTGTGGCCTGAGTGCTGCGTTGTGGGTGTGCGGCTTGTGGTTCCTGTGCCGGCGTCGTCTCACAATGGGCCACAAAACTCCTCCAATTTGCAGTTGCCCTCACTCTGCGCCCCTCTGCCATGGCCTGCCCTACCCCTGCCCCTCCCGCCTCCTGCTCCGCTCCCACTGGCAATGCGTTTAAACAACAGTTTAACAGCAGTTTCCCTGCCTTTTGTTATTGGTGAGGCTTTCGCTTCTGCATTTTGCCTTTGCTCATCGACAAAAAGAGTTTTTCTCTTTTTCCCCTCTCTCTCTCTCTCTCTCTCTCCCTTGCTCGCTCTCTCTTCGTCCTTTGCGATTTATGGAAATTGTGCAATATTTTTGAATGAGGCTGTGGGCTGAGCGCTCACTTGGAATGCTTTCTTTTTTTTTTGTTCTGCACTCTGCTTTGTTTTCTGCTTCTGTTTATTTGGTACTAGCATTGAATGTCTTTTTGCGCCCGAATATTCGGGCTTAAATATTTGCAATTTATTTAATAACTTTTAAGGCGAAATATTGCATATCATCAAATTAAGAGATAATGTTTCACTGCAAACGCTTGAGCTGAAGTAAGACAGAAAAAAGAGACAGGAAAATTAAAGGACAATAGGAGACAGCATGTGGGATAGATGAGAGAGAAGGGAGATGAGCTAAAATTGAATAAAGATGGGAACACAAAGATGAGAGAAGAGAGTTGAGGGCAGAGAGAACAGATCTGAGAGAAGAGAGGTGAGAGAATACAGAAGACAGCTAAGACTTGAGAGACGAGGGAGATAAGATCCATAAGAGGATAGACTGACAAGACTCGAGTGAACTGAGCAAAAAAAAGAGAAGAGGCGAGAAATGGGAGTGAGAAGGTGAGTGAATATCAGAAGAGGAATAAGAAGAAATGTCGAAATGGAGAAATCAAAGGAGTTTAGCGAGATAAGAAAGAAAGATGAGGGGAAGTGAAAGCGATTAGAGTTGGGAGAAGAGACAATACATATAAAGCAAGATAGAACAGATAGGAGAGAAGCGACCTAAAGAGGGAAGATGAATTAGGGCAGAAAAAGGAACTCAACAGAGATGTAAGGTCAGCAGCAAAGAAGAGTAGTAGAAAATAAAAGAGAAGAGATGTAGTTAAAAGAAGATAGAGTGATGCAATAAAGAGAACCAAATATAGAAATTAATGCTCATTGACCAAAGCTCTCTATCGAACACTTAAGCTTTCATTAATTTAACTTGCTAATTGTATCTATTAATTGTCATATAAATACATATATATATATTACTCATTTAAAGAAATAATTAAATACCTCTGCATATTTTTCATCAATTTAAAGTTTACATAATCTGCGATTAAAATTTCAATATGTATGCGTCATTATTTTCTGTCTGTCTGTCCGCCACGGCGTATACTTAATAAGTCGCCTTTGTTGCCTCTTTTCCTTTCATACACTTTATTAAATCTGCGTCTCGTCTCCTACGCTTGTTTTTTTTTTTGCTTTTGCTTTTGTTGTTTTATTGATATTTGTTTGTTTGCCACTCCCACAACATTGTGGGCGCAGCGGCAGTTAGTTATTAATTTTTAATGCGTGCACATTTCCATGTAATTACGAGCAGCAAATACTTTTGCTCCACTCAACGCTCAAGCTATTTGTTTGGCCCTTGGCAATGAATTGTGAAAAAAAAAAAAAAAATAATAATAATGGAAACGATAACGTTATTGGCTGCATTCCTTTTGTCCTTTCTCCTGCTGTGCTCAAAGACACAAAGGCACTTTTTAATAAATATGTATGCAGAGAGCTCTTTACCAGGAGGCAAGAAACGGAGATACTATGAAATTCCATTTAGCTTCAAGTTCTTTGAAAATGCGATTTTTCTTGAGTAAGTTATAAAGGGCAATGTTAAAGATACTTACAGTTTTTAACGTTTGTATTCTATAAATTTACAGTTAAGTATGCTGGAAATTGCTTCATGAAGTTTAACGTAGCTATTCAATATATTTATCGAAAGTTTGAGTTGAAGTGTATTTTGTGATCGCTTCATGGGGTTTTTGTTCCGTAAGAATGGTAAGTGGAATATAGTATGTTGGTTCAAAAAGAAGCTACAGGTAGTAGTAACTGGGAAAAAGTACTAATTAATATATGATTTTTGTTATCGATTATCAATACAATGTTTCTTTATTTTAATAGGTGAAATTATTAGAATAGTATAATTAATTATAATACATTGTATTAATTTATTGGCCATATTCTATAAATTTATCAGAATGTTCCTTAGTAGGGTTGGACTTTGTTATCGAT